GGAAATGGTGTATAATATCCAATACTTTTCAAAATATTACCTGGTCAGAGGAAGGAAATGGTGTACTTATAGGTATAATATCCAATACTTTTCAAAATATTTTTTTATTTAAAATAATATTTTTTATTTTAAAAAAATTATTTATAACATCATATATTAAAATAATATTGAAACACTAAAAAATAGTTAATTTTAAAAAATAATATTTTTAAAATAAAAAAAAAATAAACTTGAAAACAGTACTCGAGTTTGATCTGGATTGCCTGTGCCTGACAGAGGTCCAACGTTGTTAACGAGATCCCACATATTATTGTCACCAGCTGGTTCTACCTCCAACGGGTTCCACGCCCGTGAAAGGACATTCTCATTCGTGGGTATGTTCTATTTGGCGGGCCTTAGGCCCTCTGCTTATTCCGTGGGGCTGCTAATTCATTTTCCATAAGGGTTTTTGGGCCAAAACCTAAGCCCCGTCAACATGTCTCTAGTATTAGATAATAGTTAGGTAGCTTTTTCATTCATTTAAAACACACATGTTAAAAATAGGAGATATATTGCTAAAATCCAAATTTAATTTAAAAAACACAACACTAGCTTCACAAAAATTCATTAATATTTTTTTTTTTTCAAAATAAATATTAACTTCAATTTACATTTGTAAAAGGATAAAAATACAACTTTACAAAAAAAAAATTAATATTATTTTAGTTTATCATTTGTAAAAGGATAAATAATACAACTTTACAAAAAAAAATTAATATTATTTTAGTTTATGCAGAATCAAATTTGAAATGTAATTGTATGAAATCCAATTCAAAAGATTTTGGTATTTAACTAATGAAATAATTTTTTGATATGATCAGAGAAAAAAAAATAACACTCATAAAAGAAATGACTACTTTAAAGGGTGTTTGAGATTATAGTATATATGTTTTTTTAAATAGTTTTTTGTTTAAAAATATATTAAAATAATTTTTTTATTTTTAATATTAGTATATCAAAACTATAAAAATACTCAAAAATATTAATTAATTATTTTTTCAAATCAAAAAATTTTCTAAAAAAATCTAAAATTAAAAACAAAAAGGGCCACCACATGGTTAGATGGATTGTAAATGGCTTCCAACAAAAACGTTACGATATAATAGAGTGAATGCAATTGAGAGCGCGCAGATCAAAATGAAAAGGCCCAAAACTAGGAATTATTTTTGTTTTGGTTAAGTTATTATTTATAAAAATAATTAAATTAAAATTTTATAAAATATAAAAATTAAAATTAAAATTAAATTGAAATCAGTTTTAACTAACTAGTTTCAATTTAATTTAATATTTTATATTAATAATTTAATTTGGTTATTTTATTTTAAAAATAAAAAACTATATTATTATTTTTTATTTTTTAATTTTTTAATGGGTTTTATAATAGGTTTGGTTTCGTTCTTTTCAGTTTTGTTAGGTTATTTTATATTTTTAACTAAATTAATTCAGTTTTAGTAGAAATTTTTTAATTTCAAAATTATAAAATCAAACAGAACTGAATATTTTTTAAAATATTAATTGATATAATCAGATTTTTTCAGGTTTTTGTAAAATAAAAAAATCTTGATTTAATTGATTTTTCTGTTTTTTTTCTTATAGTTGTAGAGCTATTAACAAGTATCAGGGGAGAAGGATAACAGGCGGACATTTCTTAGATATTTGTTTCAAATCATTTTTGTCAGTATATGCTTGTCAAAAATTAAAATTAAGACGCTACATATATTTTTTCATCAATTACTCTAGCAAATCATACAAATATCCTGCACAACTTTCAAAAGGAAAATGCGAAGCATAAATCTTATTCGGCTATAAGCTCCTCAAGAGAACCAGACAGCTTGTCCTATACTCTGCTTTATCTTTCAAAACTGAAAAAACATACATATATTCACTTGAGATTATCGGCTTATCAGAGAATTTCAAGTCGACTGTGTTTGTGCCGTTGCATTCAGAGAGTAGAGCAAATCGGCATCCAAGAACGTCTTGCAGATGCAAAGAGAGAGAAGTAACTCGTTACCAATGTAGTGAGCAACTCAGAGACCATGAGATGACTGCAGGTTAGCATCACACCGTGCCAAAATCTTAGAGATCTTCAGTCTTCCAGATTGATTCTCTAACAACCCAATAGCAGCATGAATGACAATCCACAGCATGGTATCCCAGGCCGCTTTAAATAAGGATATCCTTTCCTTGATACAGCATGCATAATGGCATTATGTAGTGTCTCTTCAAGTTTGTCTCACTTGCAAAAATACACAACCAGGCGTCTTCGACTGAAGATTCTCAGACAAACCAAGAACTCAAGAACAAAGCATATCCTTTACTTGATAGAGTATGCATCAAGCGATCATAAATTAAGATATAGAGCCATGCCTTTGGATAAGAATATTGAAAAATGTGCCACCAGGTGCATATTAGTAAGAGGACGATGGTTGCAGCTACAACTGAGTGCAGAATTAACCAGCTACCAGCAATGATCAACACTCCAGTCAGTGTTATTGCCCACGGTCGACACCTTGTGACAAATATACAAGGAAGGCAATCAATTCGAAGCTAAAGTGATGCATGACGAAATAAAAATTAAAAGAAAGACATGGATTGGAACTGAAAAGAGTTTCCACTATTTTCTTTGTTTTTTTCTTTTTCCTCGGCTCGCTCAACATGACTTGGACAGCATAATGGAAGTTGTAATCCCTCATTACATAAATTTAAGAAATTGCAACTGCTGGAATTCAAAGCTTGGTTCGCTAAACAACTAACAAGTAAAATCCTGTGCGGATATATATAAAACAAAAATCTTAAGCAAATAGGCACCCATGCCCTTTAATGTCGTCACCTATATATCATCTTAATTAGACATTTCGGTAGAATTCACGCATTTGATTAAGTTTCAACCCGTTTCTATAGGCACGTCAAGCCTGAACAGTAAAAATGTCCGTGTCTTTCAGTAGAGCTAGTTTGTTTCGTTTCGTGAGAATGAGAAAGGACTAAAGAATGTGTTATCGCCTTCAAGAGAAACTAAAGAGTAAATAGACGCAAACTAGGGCTTGGTGTGTATCTCAGTTCAAACCCTAGCATGCACGCCTGTCATCCCCGCGATACTTTACACGCCTATTGGGTTTACAGGATATTCAATGGGCCGTGGGGATTAGTTGTGGTGCGCGCAAGCTGGCCCGGACACCCCACATAAATAAATAAATAAATAAAAAAGAGTAAATAGACAGCCAAAAAGTTGCCAAGCAAATCATTTGCTAATTCTCATTATCTTCCAAGTTAATAAATCTCCAAACAGTTCAACCAGTCCCATTTTGCTTGAGACAGTATTTTCCTGCTAATTTCTGTCGATGTTTGCTATTGTGGGCCTGACATTTTATACCAAGTTATGAGTCTCGTGACTCTGATTTTGATTTTGCTTCTGACTTAAGATGTGATTTGCTGGGAAAATATTTTTATCCAGGAATTAGACAGTTAAATCATCACGATGCACGCTCAGCATATTCTGGATGGGAAATTACAGTTTGGAAAGCTGATTTGAGCGGAACTCTAATGTACAGAGCAAGTGCCCATGCACCATGGAGGCATGTGAACTTCAGGTATTTAAAAAGAATTGTGCGCGTCATGATTTGCTGCTGCTGTTTTCCCAAGCAAAAACCACATTTCCATGAAGGAACAAGAACATGACGAACGAGAACCGACTGGTTGACGATGATAGAATGCACACTGCAAATCCTTTACTGTCCATTAACATGCAATCACAATAATAATTAACGGGAAAATGATCGGTGCCTTGTGTTTCTCCTATTCTATATGCGATGCATCTTTTCGAACTCTCAGGGGCTCAAATTAAGCATACTGAAAGGTTATAAAGGCTTAACTTTGAGCACTAAGAAACTTGGATCATTAATCCACAAACAACAGCGACTACTATTCTAACTATAAAGCTCAACACAGTATACCTTAGAATGACAATTGAAAGATGAAGAAGGCTTACAGGGTAGCAGCAGCCAAAGTTGCATCAACGTTCATCTAAACTTTTAGCATGCCAGTTTCAGATGCAGGAATATTTCTCTTCACCATGCTGCTCCGATCACTGTATTTGCTTGTTTTTTCAGCTGGACAACTGGGTTCTGTGCAGCTTTGACCAGGGGAATTTTAAAAAAGCAACAGCAGCACGTTTCCTCAGGGTTGTGGTAAAAAGTTCAAAAGCTGCTAGCATATCCATTTATGACAGAAAAGCAAGTACAATACATATAAAGAGGAGAGTGCAACTATTTGTGTCATATTTGAGAATCGAGTACAGCATTAATGTTGTTAAACAGTGAACATTCACAGCCCAAAATAGTCTTAATTGGACGGAGACACTACTAGTTGATTACTCCAAATACAATGAATCGGTATGTACTTGGGTTTTAGGATTCTCACCCTTCTATTTTACATCAAGAATAAAGGGGTGAGATTGAGAATCTAAAAACATCAAGTACAAACTAACTTATTGGCTTGCGTTTGGGAAAGCGGTGGGCCTTTGAAAAGCTACAAATTGTAGCTTCAGAAAATAACGGATGGAAAGGGATGTGATATTAGCTTTTAAAATATTGCCAAATACTTCAAAGCCACAGCCACAACCAAATTGATGATTCCCAGAATGAGCACTAATTGGCTTGACACAGCTAGTCTGGAATCAGTATAAACAGATGATAAGCAAGTAGAGCTGCACACATACAAACAGAACAGTCATGTACATGATTTACACACCGGCTGCAATTTAGCCATTAGAACAAGCTAATGCTTGCAATCTCATTTCTTTACAACAAAGTTTTCATTCTCACAAATACTAATGGTTGTCACGGGAGTAAGCAAAAGGCGATCTTACTGCAGAGCTCCACGAAGGTATCATGTTGATAGCATTCATGAATAGTTCATAAATTATCGTAATAAATCAAAGCAACGATGTTTAGGCTGATCCCTAAAAGCAATTGATGAAGAGCATTGGGTTAGTGCAATCATATAATACATGTAAGTTGACGAGAGGAGGGGAGAAAAAGAAACGAATGGGTAAACTTCCAATTGCAATACCTGTATCTATATCACATCATTCTTTTTAAAAAAAAAAAAAATACATTGCAAGACCTATCTGCTTCCAATTGCAATACCTGTATCTATATCACATCATTCTTTTTTTTTTAAAAAAAAATACATTGCAAGACCTATCTGATAAGACTCGATGGTGGAAAAAACTTATTCATTCTTCCAAGCATACAATATAAGGGAGAAACCAAGACCTTGCAATTGGCAATCTCTGAGTTTCTGCGAGGATGACCAGGTCAGTACAGAGGGATCGAAAATGGATTGATTGATCCATAATTTCTCCGCTGATAAGCAAGTTTGGAACATGAAAACTGCATTGCCCATAGCATTACCAAATAGCCAATTATGAACATCCCAAAACACTTCAACTGGGAGCCCATCCACCAATATAGTATAGTTGCCCCGGAACTTCCATTTCAGTCTTTTGACCTGCATTACCATCTCACCATCAATGCGGATCACAAGACAGGGATCCTTCAGATCAAATGTATCGCATTCAATTGTAATATCATGCATCTGGCCCCTGTCAGAAAACTGAGCTTTTGCACTATAGAACTTCTTCCCAAAAATATGCTCTCTTCTAGCGATGAAAATGGCCTTGGAGTGCACCGGAGGACTTTCAATCTTCTTGTATGCTTCCTTCTTCATGTCCCCGAGAAGTAACACCATTTCTAGATTAAAAGTAATGGCCAAATAAAACCCCTCCAAAGGCTCAGGCCCGGAACCAAATTTAGCATTGGACATGTCCCAATTTATAATTACCTTGTCAGAATCTACCTCTAAATTCTTGTACCCTTTTCTTTTAGAGAACAGCCAAGGTTTTATATCAACTTTACAAAGACACTGACTGTTTGAATCGTCAATTGCAACCCCGACACCTTGGCCCATGAGATTCTTGGTCCAAGTAACGGTAATTAAACAAGAACGACCACGCAATTTACATTGATAGACACAAGTGACCAAATTTTGAGCAGCTTTTGTTGTACTTGACAAAGATGAATCAGCTACTTGAACTCCACTCTCGCCAAAACAAGAAGGAAAGTCCCTCATTTTGCCAACAAAAGCAGGCTTATATTTAACAATTTTGGAACTTCTTTGATTGAAGGCAAAAAGAATAAGCACAGTACAAAAGATAAAGTACCTTTGTAGCCAGTTGAAGATAAACTCAAGACCCCATCTTCCAAAATATATGCCCCAAAAGCTTGCTTCTTTCCTCTCCAATCTGGGCACACAGTTTTAGCTGCCAGGAGCCGTTTATGTTACAAAACTATAAGCAGGGAGAGAAAGGAGAAAGGACTAGGATTTTCTTAGATTTGTCAATGTCTGTGGCTCTTTGCTTAGCTTAACCATATGAATTTACTTAAGAAAAAAGAAAGATTATCGATTAATTTATCAAGGGATGAGGCACAGGAAGGGATGGGCAGAGAAGGACCAGAGAGCTTGAGTCACGTGGTGAGACCATGAAGAAAACGGCAGATGGATATTTGCTGGAAAATGACTGGTTATTATACTACACGTTACATAAAAGAAAAGCAAAAGGTTCTCTCTTTTTCAATCTTCCTCTTCTCTCACGCATTTACATTTCCTATTCAGCGTTTCCCCTGTCCATGATTAAGAGAAATCATAATGGGGCCTCCCCTTTTACTGACATATCACATGGATTAGAGCTCCATAAATCAGAGCTTAATGCTTAAACACCCCATCTTTTGACACCCTTTTTGCTTTCTTTCTATCTCTTCATGGAATTTGCTTTGGTTTAGTTGCATTTGCATTATTATCCTTTTGTTAAGTAAGACAAATGTCATCACAGTGGAAGCAAGGAATGGAAAAAATGTAATGAACAGTGACTTCAATTAATCGGCATCATTTTCCCGCGGTTTCTTTGTCTGTTGTCATTATCAATTGCAGTTACTGTTCGGTTTTCACTATGGTGAAAGATGACGACCATTGTGATCGATGAAACTCGTAAGCATTTCACACTGTTTGAAACTATAGGCACCGTTATTTTTTAAAATAACTTTTTACAAAATATTAAAATAATATATTTTTAAAAATTTATTATTGACTTCAACATATTAAAATAATATAAAAATTAATTATTTTAAAAAACATTATATAAATTCAAAGACAAACAAGTTTTAAATCTAACCTTACGTGGCATAATTGATTAAAAACCTATCCAATCAGATTTCATAGAAAATAAGAGTAAATTTTGATATAATTTAGTAAAAAATTCAGGTTAATTTTTAATTTAGTTAACTTGACTAAAATTTATTTAAAAAAATAAATTAACCCCGTAAAAACCTATTAAGCTTTTAAATAGAAAAAATAGATTACCTTGCTATATTCATCATCCTAAGTGCTGAGGAATCGAATTTAATAAAATATTATCTCACCTCACGAAACTAAAAAAAAAAAAAAACAAAAAGGAAGTGGAAAAGAGCATTTTTCCGTACGTATTGGTATGGTGAATCACGTGTATAGCACCTGCTTGACTGGCAGACCTCATCAGCGGACCAACATGGAGAAGTCAGGTTCTCGTGATTTGTGTAGGGGGTACATATGTTTTGGTGGTGTTACACGGTGTTTTTGTCTCAATATAAATTTAAAAACATTTAATTAGTTGATAATTTTACCTAGATTTTATTAAAAATATTCTTAATTAAAAAAATATAATAAATAACTTTTTTAAATCATAATAATAAAAATGAACACAACACCAAACACATATTAGGATAACACTTGAAAGCTTTTAAAAATATTTTTTTAAAATACATTAAAATAATATTTTTTATTTTTAAAAATTAATTTTTAGCATAAATATATTAAAATAATTGAAAGAAAAAAATAATTGAAAGAAAAAACATTTTTGAAACCTACAAACACGTGTAAGGAAAAAGAGTAAAAACCCTTATTTATGAGCCCGATTTGATGACCATCATGACTAAATGCTTTCATAATCAAATGGGAAATTATTATTATTATTATTATTATTTTATTAGTATTAGATTATGAGACCAGCCACCCGAGCAACCACAAATTCGTTGGATTGGGCCGGCTGTCTGGAGTGGTGATCAACGACTTTATTTTAATAATAATAATAATTCAATTCAACACAAACTAATCAACGACTTTATTTTAATAATAATAATTCAATTCAACACAAACTTATCTCGAAAGCATTATTATGGAAATAGTACAAATTATATTGAGAAAATCATGGCGGGTGACTGAAAAGGAAAAGAGAAAACATGATCACACTCGGACAGTGGATTTAGATCATAACATTGTCACGTCAAGGATGACCTCGGGGCTCCTCTAGAATAACGTGAAGACAGAGACAGACTCGAACTGACTTCCACCGGTTACCACCACCGAGTGATTAGGTCCGTGGTTGTTAATTCCTTACCACTTTAAAGGGACGATTCAAAACTTGACAGGTGTAGATTTTTAAATTAAATTAATGGAAGAGTTGATTTGATTAAAGGGATTCTTTTTTATTTTTAGATTTTTTTTCAAAACATGTACTAAATTTATGTTTTTTAATAATTTTGAATTATTAATATAAAAAATTTAAAAATAATTTATTTTAATATATTTTCAAATAAAAAAATTATCTTGAAAAACATCACATTACGTGCTAAAAGTGTGTTTGGTATTGCAATTACTGTTGTGATTGTGGTTTAAAAAAAATTGTTTTATAAAAAATACTATTAATTAAGATTGGTTTAAAAAAATATATGTCTGGTTAAAACTGTGGTTAAAATTAAGATTGAGCAAAAAATAATTTAATGTATTTAGTTAATAGTATTTTTGAAATTGAGGTTATAAAATAATTTTAAAAAATTATTATTAATATTGCTGATTTTTAATTTAAATATTATAGATTTAACTATTGTTATTACATTATGAAATAAATAATACTTTATATAAATTATTTTTTTATTGTTCTATTAAATTATCTACAATTCCATCACGTATGAAATATATCCAACAAGGACTATATTTTTTTTGTTTCTTAAGCACGCAACAACATCATGTATAATATAATCAGGAAGAAAATTAGAATTACGATTAAATTCTGCAAATGTTACGTCATCAAGCGATCTCTGTCTAATTTATATAGTGTCATTGAATAATGATAAACACTAATTTTTTGAATAAAATACAGTTAAAAAATAAAAAATAATTTTTATTTTTTATTTTACTGGATTGGATTTAATTCAATGTATTTTGAGCTTAAGACCTGTCTGACCAAAATACTATAGCTGGCTATATTGTTAACCTAACAATGTATCATGCTACATTATTCCTTTTAACAATAATAAAAAATATTACAAGAATGGTCTTTCATTTTTTTTCTGAATAAATAGAAGAACTCAGCAAATTAATTGAGAACTCAACGGATTAATTAGCAAGAATAGTTGATAGCCATGCTCCACTGTTCATGCATTAATAGTGGAGCATGGCTATCCATTGTTCATGCTAATTAATTAGCATGAAACGCACAGAAAGTAATATTCATTTTTTTTTGTGTGTTTTAAAATCAAAAATAGTATAGGACCCATAAATAATAAGTTGCTTTTTTTTTACCAAACGGTTTGTATCTACATTTTATTTAAAACATAGATACATTTCATTACCAAACGCCTTCTAACTACCTTTTAAAATTTATTTCAATTGAATAACACGAATTAATTCGATTTAAAAACAAGAAGGTTGTGTGTGTATATGATTAAAACAACTTCATTTTAGATTTTTAGTGAAGAAAATTAAAAAAGAAGTGACTCGATAACTTGAAGATTTACCCCTCAATCCAATTGTTCAGAACCTTCATCAAATCAAGCTCCATGTCGGGAGCGCCGGTCATGGTTGCATTCTGGGAAACAAATAACAAGAACAAAATTCCCATGTCAGATATTGTACCCCCAAATAGAGCTAGATTGATAAATATAATATTTTAAATAATATAAATATAATTTTTTTATTGTATATACTCCAATAACAAAAGCTCGAGTTATTTTTAATGTAGTTCTTGATTTTTTTGGATTTTCTAAATCCAACTCCAGGTCGTTTTTAAACTCAATTACTTTGTTAAGGTTTAAAAAGAACTTCAATCAAACCCTTCCGTCTATTTCATGTTAGTGAAACTAATAAAACTCGTAGTGTTTCATTTTTTATTTTACTCTATTTTTGTCTCCGGTGGCCTGAGGTTTGAAGAAAATCTCATTCAAGCATCTACTAAAAAAAAAAGGAAAAAATGAGATTAGCCTGTAAGAAACAGCAACTCACCCACCATGATTCTGTTGCCATAGTAACCACGATCTGCTATTGCGTTTCAATTGAGGAGGATAAGCAGATTTTTAGAAAAAAAATACTTAAAATTAATTTTTATATTTTTTATATTATTTTGATGATATTAAAAATAATTTTTAAAAATTAAAAAATATTATTTTAATAATTTTCAAAATAAATTAAAAAATAATTATTACCATATTTCTAGACCACATTACCGCATTACAACATTACACCATTAATAGTAGAACGCTTCTATCTCTACCTTCTTCCCCATCTAACATAAATTTAGGGTTGTGTTAGATTTTGGATAACGTGATGGAAATTTATATTTGGATAAAGTGAATTCTTATTAGATTTGGATACACTTTTATGAATTCTGGTTGATCACATTGAGAATCTGAAACAGGTCCCAAATGAACAAATCGAAATTAACCCAGAAGTCTAACTTTCATATGCCTGGAAAAGAATAAGTGGCCGGCAAAGCTACCTCGTTCGTTTAATCTGTGCTTCGCATATCGTTCTTTCCTGGCCTTCCCTTCATCTTTGCTCGCAAAAGATGATAATCCGTGTGGTTTTCCCTTCCCATTGAATTTTGATCTCTTGGCTGGTTTTTAAAGGAAGATAGATCAGTCTTGTGTTTCAATGTCTCATGGTCCAAAAACCATCCCAAAACACGCAGTGAAAATGACCAAAACCATATACAACCCTTGTTTTTGGCAAGAAATCCTCTTTATCATTTTGTAGAGCTGTAAAAAAAATCTATTCATCAAGTTTAGAAGCATAACAAATAGTATCAGACAAGGACGGGCACAAAACATGACACTGACACTGGATTAAAATGTGACCATACGTAAAAACTGCAGATCTGTGTGCAATGAGGATCTGACTTGCTAATAGATTTCTCCTGCTTAACCCTGCTAGATTCATCACTGGCAAGTGGAGCTGATGTTTTCAACTTTGTCACGACATTAAATTTGCTAGTTACAGTGGTCCTCGTCATCTTCGGCGGCGGCTGAGGACAGTGGGATGTCAATTTCTCTTCTGTTTTTTGTCAAGATAAGACGTCATTTCTTGGCTCTTGAGTTTCAAACCAAACAATCTGTAGCTGCCATTTTCACAAATCCCTTTTTGGATTCCTAATGTAAAGAAGACGAGGGTGAAGAATAATTTATGAAGTGATATCAATTGATTTTCAATAGGGTTTTATGATCCATGAAAATTAATTTGGCAAGATTTTGTATTTGTATAGAGAAGAGAAAGAAATTATATCCGAAGAAAAAGAAATCGATATATGATATTTGAATTATATTATATACATGAGTAATTTTATCATTTCGTCTGATGTAAAATTTAAGATGTCATGGAATGTAAATTATAATATAAAAATAAAATAAAAAATAAATGCACATTTCTCATCTCCCCTGATAGATTAGGATTATGGACTCGAACAGTTGACAGGTAAAAAACGAAGTGATAATGAACTCAATGATAAACGTAGTAAAAATCAAAAGAAGCAGGCCTTTGCCCACTCCCTCAAATTGTAGAAACACATCACCTTCCGCCTGCACATATTTGTCCTACAATGGAAATCTTCATTGGCATTCTCACGACTAATCTTATCACAAAACAGGTTCCTGCCATTTGCCTGCTTGAATTTCTCTTGCAGGTCAGATACCTAAAACATACACACAGCATATAAGAACAGAGAAGTTCTAGCAATGAAGACTAGGCATTCATGAGCACATAGTTTATAGCCAACTCTCATGTCTAGCAATAAAGATTTTGCATTCACGAGTACATACACGGGGGAACATTCAAGAATAAAAAATGGAGTTGACAAAGCACATTTAAACGTTCAAGATTATTGACCATGAAACAGAAGCATCAAGAAATTTCTCTGCAGGCTCACGGTGGGTTCGTGCCAGAATACTTCAAGCATTAGCCAATAAACCCAACATAAAGTTTCTTAGGCTTCGTAGGAAAACAATCAGCGGCAGGCCTTTTAATTTGGTGCTCCAGGAAGATAACATGATTTGAAATCGCAGGTTAAATCATAGCAATCTTGCCCAACACATCATGAAATAAAAAGGAGGAGAAAAAGGATTCAAAAAACCACAACAAACTCGGCAGAAACTACTGAATGGGAAGAGTAAGGAGATGGGAGATGGCGTAAACTTCACGTGCGAAAAAGTAAATGATGTTTTAGCACCCTTGGCATGGAAAACTTCCTATTGTCAAAGTCTAAACATCCATTGTCAAAGACACCACGTAGAATGAAATTAGTATTCCAACACTGGACAGAAATGTTTCCCATGGTCCCAACTCCCAGTGATGCAAGTATCGAATAAAAAATAATCTAAATCCTGTCTGTACTTTGAAGAGCTCATTTAAGTAGAATTGCAATGCAAGGGTGGATTCATCTGTGAAATGATGTCTTTCTTTTATCTCTTTTTGAATTTTGACAGTTACATTCTCAACAAAATAAACTCAACTCAGAACTTGAGGAGGAAATTTTCAACCCCAAAAGTTCTTTTAATTGAACGCCATCACTTTGCAGTTATTCTCTGCATAATTATCTTTTTCAATGCAAAACAATTGCTTGAAAAATTTCTCAGGTGCGATGCACTCGTGTCCCATTGCCAAAGGCATCTTCCAACAATTGCCTATAACTGGGTTACTGAAATGAAATCACAGCTTTCCCTTTGCTGTCCTGATTAAAAAGGACATGTACCTTTCTAAAATATAACTCCAATTCCAAGCTATAATCGGCTTGAATGACATTAAAAAAAAAATTGAAGCGATAAATGCAAACAGCACAGCAAGTTAAGGTAACAATAAGAAGACAAAAACCAGTAGAAAAATGTCCGCTTTTAGCCACACTTACACTATAAAGGTAGGGTTGTGTCAATGTCTGGTTTTTAAGAAATAGATAACCACAAACAGAACTCTATTTTAGCCAGCAACCTAATAATAAAACTTCAATTTAATTCACATGAAATTGATTTGCAATATCCAGAGTTAGAACATTAATCAAAATTCAAAATTACAAAAACCTCTAGTTCGTTTTCAAATCGTTTACATCCCAAATCATTTCTTAACTATCAATTAAGGTACTTTACAAAACATGATTTCACTTTCCTTTTCAACTGCGCACAGGTACCAATTCCAGGTATCACATTCCACGTTGCCTATTTATTTTTACACATTTTACATTGCCTTTTTATTTTTACACATTTTGAAAGTAAAAACCACTACCATACTCTCAAACACCCTCTTACTCTTTACCCTATAGTTATGGTTAAGCATATATTTTAATTCACAATCCAAATCATAACTATCAAATAGCACAAACCATATGATCTATTACACTTTCATCTGGTTTTGAGGAAACTAATCAACCAAGCAGAGGGTATGTGGTTAGGATTAACATCTAAGATGCTAACAACGAGTCATGATGACAAAAAAATGAAGCTCAACTATCCAGTTCAGATAATATCCATCAATCAAGATAAGGACTAGAAAATATGATAAGGAAAGTTACGAGGAGGAATAATAAAACACCTCCTAAGCATCAGCACCGCCAGATGCTTTCGCAGAAAAAGGATCATGACTAGGACCAACATCCTGCCCAATATGGCGCTGCACTAGCCGCTGCAAATCAGCCATAACCTTGTGCTCACGTTTTGCCTTCTCTTCATAGTTAAACATGGCCAGCGCCCGCTTATCCTCAGCGCTATAAACTTGGTTTTCTTTCCTGATACGAATGGCATTCATCCTCTGATGCCTACTGCCACTCATCACATACCCAAGAGTCTCAAATTTCTGAATCTCATCCGCAGAAAGACCCACTTCACCTCTACGAGGGATACGTTTCCCTTGCTGCACGTACTGTGCAATAGCATCACCTTCACCAGGCCTCAAAGCTCCACCATAACTAATATGCCCTTCAGCTCTAGGCAACGGCATTGGCCCAACCACAGGTTCATTTTCCAAAGCAGGTTTTTTTTGTGCCTCGATCATTTCTTTAAACATCAATGCCTCAACGTCAACTTCAGCCTTGTTAGCCTCGTCATCATTTGCTTTATTTTTCTCAGAACCAGAATTCTCAAGGGAATCCAAATTCTCACTCCCTGTTTCAGAACCTCTCTTCTTCTTACTCCCCTTGGATCGCGAACCTGAAGAACGCCTCCTCTTTTTAGACTTTACACGATCATCATCAGAGTCAGACTCCTCAGCCCTATTATCATCAGAATCACTATACTTACTCTTCTTCCTCCTGCTCTTTCTTCTTCTACTACTCTTACTACTCTTGATCCGCCTACTAATACTTTCCCGCGACTTCTTTCTCCGTTTCCGATCTTCTTCAGTGTCTGATTCACTCTCACTTTCGCTCTCACTCACATCTGATTTACTATCACTTTTCCTCCTCCTGCGCTTAGAACTTGATTTCCTCCTCTCTCTTTTCTCCCTCGAGGCATCTGACTCAAACTCAGACTCGCTCTCCGACTCACCACTCCCAGAATTCTCCGACTCTGATTTCGCCTTTTCCTTCTCTTTTCCGCTGGAATCTTCACTCTTTACCTCATCCTCTCCGTACTTCTCTATCTCGTCCGCTTTCTCCACCAATTCCTCCTCATCGTCCCTTCTCGGAGGACTTGGCGTAATATTCCAAATACAATACCTCATAGACTTCCTCATCTTCTGCCTCTTCAGCCTCCTCCTCTCCTCAAAACTCAATCCTTTTAAATCCTCATCGGATTCCTCGTCCGATTCCCTTCTATTCCTATCAAGAAAGGACCGGCCCTTGCCGAATTTTTTAGGGAGAGAATGATCTAGGGTTTCTTTGTACCTAGGGCTCGGACTTCTTCTTGTTGTTCTTCTTCTAGGACTTCTTGAGTATTCGGGTGAGCTAGAGCGACGGCGTCGGCCGCGATCGATTTCCCGGTGACGATCATCGTAGTTTTGATAAGAGGGACTGCGACGTTCACGGTGGCGTCGGTAGTCAGGGGAGTCGAACTCGGGTGTGTCACGGCTGTTTTGACGGTCAGGAATGTATCGTCCATCGGAGATCTCGACGGTGGATGATAGCCTGCCCATTTTTGGAATTTGCGTTCATGAGGTGTTTTTTATGTATTTATAGGAATTAACAAAAACTAAAACATACGGAGGCAAGTACTGTCTCATTCCTTGCAAAACAGTGAAATGCTTCCGCACGTTGGTTTTTTTTTTCTTCTCTTGAACGCGTTATTTTTTTATATATATATATTTTTTTAAATTATTTTTATTAATTTTATTTTTAATATTATAATAATTAAAATTTTAACTATCTAATTAAAATTTTAACTATGTAATTTATTTTTTATTTTTTATAATATTAGTATAATTTACAGATTTATCAAGATAATTCATCGTTTATAGATTTAGTGGAGTGTTTTTTACTTTTTTTAATTAAACTTTAATTTTTTATATGATTAAAAAAAAATAGTTTCAAAGAAAAATCATTTTATTAAAAAAAATTATTTTTTATTCTTTATTTTTTATTCTATTATGATTTATTTTTATTATTTTTATATTTTAAAATTATGATGATTAAGAATTTAACTTCAAATTTTATTTATCTTTAATTTACCTTTGTATGAAATTAAATTTGTTTATAGATTTGTTAGTGTAGCATAATTTACCTGAATTTACAGATTTGATGAATTATTTTATTTTAATTAAATTTAATTTTTTTATTATTTATTTTTTTCTTGTGTAATCATAAAAAAATAATTTTAAAAAAAATCATGTTATTAAATTTTATAAATTAAAAAAAATAAGAGGTATGGAAGAACTATCATTCAGTCATATCCATTGCATTATGGTTACAAGAGTAATCCATGATATTTTGGTTTTTTTATATGACTTTACATAAAATATTTGTATGTGTTTTTTTTAATACAGTGATTATCAAGAATCTATCTTTATCATTTATTTATTTTTATCTCTTCTTTTTATAAAATTGGCATGGTTTGCTACTAACCTAAGTTGTTATAATTTAAAAGTCTGACAGGGTGTTTTTTTTTTAATTGAACATAGCTTTTTATTGTCTATTTTTTTCTTACATGATTAAAAAAATAGTTTAAAAAAATATATATTATTGAACTTTATAAAGTCTATGGATTTATTCACTAGTTTGTCTGGTTTGTAAGCCTGACAAGTTTAACTATTTTTTTAACTATTTTTTTTATTTCATCATTGGATAGTAGGTTAATTTAAAATTCAATTTCATACTTAGTTTTACTTTTTATGATGTTATTATGATCTTAAAAAAGTATCTTGATATTTAATTGGTGTTTAATTTCACGGACATCTATTTTTATTGTATATAGTTAAATAAAAAATATCATCGAAGAAGAAAATAAATTACAAACTCAGTGAAGTCCATAACCCGGTTCACGTGTTTGACTTGTTAGCTTAAGTTATTGATTCATGAGTTTAGTGAATTTAATCATTGATAAAAAAAAAATTCCAGTCCTTTAATTGTTTTTTTATTATTATTGTTGTTGTTATTATAATCTTGAAAAATAAATTACATGATTGATTTTTATTTTATTTTTATAAAGATAACTGTCTTGGATAAGTGTTTATTTTTAAGTTGATACTTATGTTTACGAGCATCTATTTTTATCATATAATTAAATAAAAAATTTAATTAAAAAAAAAACTATTAAACCCAACAAAGTCCATGACTCGGGTTGCAGGAGAACTGAGTTCGATCTAATTTTTGATCGTCTTAGTATTTTTTAATATAAACAACACATTTAATTAGATTTAATAACACGGTTTAAAAATTCAATGAGCTCTTGATATTATATTTACATTAAAAAAAAACCAGTATGACCCACAATGAGATGCAGGACAATTAAGTATTACTCTAAAAGGCATGAGTTTTTTTATTAAGTAAGGTTTTATTGTCAATCATCTCACACGTTGTCATGGATGGACTGTCCAAAAATTTATATTTTTTTAATTTCGTTATCAAGCTTTTGTTTATTTATTTAGCCATATTTGAAAACCATTTCATTTTATTCTCATTAAAAGACGGAACTAAAAAAAAAGAGACCATAATGGAAAAAGTGTCGAACATGGATGACATATCATAAGTTTTGTAAGAGATGCACTTTGATTCTTAAACTTAAAAATCATATAAATTATACAATTTAAGTGTCACGATATTTTTTCCAATCCAATTTTGGTATAAAGAGTTTATTTTTATTAATTTTAAGTTTCTGATTGACATAATAAAGAAATATATTGTTGGGTTCTGACGATAGAGAGTGAAAAGTATATCACATTTAACAATAAAGGTTTATACTATGTATATTTTTAGCTCTAAATTTATGAAAAAATAGATTTGAATTTTGATTTGTTTTTAGATCCGAGTTGATTTGAGTTAATGAGATAATTTTTTACATTTTATGATGTCATGCATTGTTTTATCATAGTTTTTATAGCATTTTATAGGTGTTTGGGGCTAAAAAAATATCGAAGATGATTTTTTTAATAAAACAGTCTTAAGTCTGATTTCCAACCACTATAATAACTGAAATCTTAGCAAATTAGCAACACTTTGTTAGATATTTTTTTCAAAACAATTCAAGGTAGACGACATAATTACAAACAAAAAAAATAAAAATAAACAAGAGCACAATCAATATTTGACCTTTGCTTTTTTATTCCTTCTTTCCTGTTACTTTTAAAATTATTATTCTTTTTCATGATTTTTTCATGATTTTTTTATTTATATTTAAATTAATACCCTTTCCCCCTTTCATTTTATTTTTTTTCTTTTAAATCATGATTATTTTTTAGTTATACATGTAAATTTGAATATTAATTTATTATTTATATATAATATTTTTAATATTTTTCATAGATTAAATTTATTTTTAAAAATATAAAAACATAAAAAATATTTATAACATGTGCATTATTGCATCATGTTGTTTTTCTTTTCCATGTTATTTGATTGAATTAATTCGTGTTTCATTTTAATTATTATTTATTAAAATAAAAAATTATTTTAATAAATAAATTTAATTAAAATAAACAAATAAATAATTTTTATTTTATTTTATTTTATTTTTCAATTACATGATAATGAGAGGTTTTGTTTAAGATTTTAAATGGTAGAAGCCTGGGCCTCTGTGAGACTGGGACACTAATGGTCCTGGGCCTTAAAAAGGTTTATGAAGAACTTTTTATTTTTATTTTTTTTAAGTCTCTATGCTATACGTCTGGGGTAATATTGTAGAGTGATAGGCTACAATATTTTTTATCATAATATATAATATTTTTTAATTAAAAATATATTAAAATATATTTTTTATTTTCCATATCAGTACATTAAAATCATCATAAAACATTAAAAAAACATGTTTCTTCAAGAAATACATATCTAAATATAATTGAAATCACAACACCAAGCAATCATATAACATATCAATATGCAAACGAAGAGCAAACCAGAGCTTGGCCTAGCGGTGGAAGGGACTTGTCTCCTTTCACTGCACCTGGGTTCGAGCCCTGGCGTGCACGCCTGTCACCCCCGCGGCGCCCTACATGCTTACTGAGTTTGCAGGGTATTCAGTGGATCGTGGGGATTAGTCGTGGTGCGCGTAAGCTGGTCCAGACACCCCACGTAAATCCAAAAAAAATAAAATATGCAAACGAAGAATAATGTTGCTGTAAAGAAGATATATGAAATTTTACACATAATTTAAAGTGTTTTGGTATGTTTATGAAATTCAAGGTCTACATCTTATAAAGACTGATTTATACAGGAAATTAAAGTGAACAAACGAGCTTGTAATATAATTTATAGTTTAATAGTATCTTTTGACATGATAAAAACGAGCTTATGATTTATTTGATGTAAATACGCATGAATTTTAATATTAACTGATCTATTGTACGTAAAATATATTGGTTCTAGAGCATCGGTAAACCTAGGCTAATTTCTCGTAAAATTTAGATATTAAATTTATGTAGATGCAAATTAACCAACAATTGAAAGTGAACCTTAAAATTAATAGATTTATTGCACGTTGAAAATTTCTTTATTTTAGAACTATAACACTAATTGCACGAGACGTGGAAGAATTGAACATGAATTTATAAATTAAAATATTTAATGTATATTAAAAGGAGACGGCAAAACACAATAGAAATGACAATTTTATATTCATTTTTCATTTTTTTAGTGTAGCTGCGGATGTGGTAAGATTATAACTGTATGATTTCTTTATTTTAACAGGACTATAGCGGTGGCAAATTTATATTTATTTTATTTTATTAAGAAAAAAAGTTGTTATGGTTTTTTTTTTAAACATTTGATATATCTAACATTTCATACTTAGCTTATTTATTAACATTTTTGTGTCTTTATTTTTTATAATATTTTTTTTTATTTTTTATTCAAATTCTCTTGAAAAAATTAATATTTTTTATTGTCAATATTTCAAATATTTATCATTCGATACTTATAGATCCCCGCACACATATATCCGTGCATGTAAATTTTTATTTTTTTTCTTTAATATCTGTTTTTTTAAAAACAGGCTAGAAGCATGATCTAGCTTTTCAAGCCTGGTTATGTTTAAATTTTTATTTTTATGATTTTATTTTTTTAATTAATATTTTTTAATATATAATTTTAAATTTATATTTAAATTAATATCTATTTTCTTATATTGTTTACCTATCTTTTTTAAAAAATAGTTGTTGTTTTTTAAACTATTTTATAGGCATTTAATGTTTTAAATATATTATTATAATTCATTTACAATTTTTTTTATATTCTATATAAATAAACTTTATTCTTGAAAATAAAAAATTATTAATTCTTGATGAGAAATTGTGTTCAATAAGATAAAAAAGGACTATGCGCGAAAAGTTAGGGTTGAAAAATCTAAACATGGACATGAATATATACAAGGCAATTAATTTATGATGGTATGATTTTTATTGTGTATATCACCTATTGCAATAATCTAATAATCTAATAGATCATTTTACTAAAAATCCATCAAGAGATTTAATTATAAATACTCTTGTTAGTATAAGATCAAGACCATCTACCCAGTTTCTACCAGTACCTTAACAGATTATGAATTTTTTGGGTAA